AATATGATCAGTCTGTACTTGTGATCTATCACTCCATTCATATTTTTTGGATTTGCATATGATGACGTCAGCTCGAAAATTTGCCGAATAAATCATATCTAAAATGTACAAAATATGATCAGTCTGTACTTGTGATCTATCACTCCATTCATATTTTTTGGATTTGCATATACAGGATGATTCAAGAAAATAAATGAAAGCGTAAATTTATTTTACTGATTTACTCAGGAACTACAAAACCGAATGCTTCGAAATCTTGAAGATATTTTAAAATTATCATAAGCATGGTAAATTTTTGATCAAAACGTATTTGGTCGTCCCCCCTAAAAAATTTATGATGTCACCACAAAATTTTGCTGAATAAATCCTATCTAAAATGTACAAAATATGGTGAGTCTCTTCTTGTGATTTATCATTCCATTCAAATTTTTTCGATTTGCATATACAGGGTGACTCAAAAAAATTAATGAATGCGTAAATTTATTTTATTGATTTAATCAGGAACTACAAAACCGAATGCTTTGAAATCTTGCAGATGTTTTAAGGTTATAAAGAGCATAATAAATTTTTAGTCAAAATATATTTGGTTATCTTCTACAAAAAACTGATGACGTCAGCTCAAAAGTTTGCCGAATAAATCGTATCTAAAATGTACAAAATATGATGAGTCTGTACTTGTAATTTATCATTCCATTCATATTTTTGGATTTGCATATGCAGGGTGACTCAAAAAAATTAATGAAGGCGTGAATTTATTTTATCGATTTAATCAGGAATTACAAAACCGAATGCTTTGAAATCTTGGGAATATTTTAAACTTATTATAAGCATGGTAAACTTTTGTTCAAAATGTATTTGTTCATCCCTCCTAAAAAAATTGATGACGTCACCCTTAAATTTTGCTGAATAAATCCTATCTAAAATGCAAAAAATATGATGAGTTTGTACTTGTGATTTATCATTCCATTCATATTTTTTAGATTTTCTTAAGAGGTGGTTCAAAAAAATTAATGAAGTCAATTTATTTTATTGATTAAATGAAAGGCAACACTTATTATTAGTATTACACCCCAACCAACCCAATTTGGTAGACACAAAATTTGTTAAAGGAAAAACTCGGTTGAAACATAAGGGTACTACGCTTATTTACATCGACTTTAACATTACAGACCTGCATTTGTTTTATGCGCTCACTTGGTTCCGCGAATGTGAAATAGACATGTTTATAATCAACCAATTGTGAATTTCACCGTCAAGAATTAAAATAAAACCCAATGTTTTATATAATAAGCGGAAGTCGAAGCAATAAAACCGATGGTCGTTTTGTTTACAGTTTCTCTGTTTGACTCTCACGTATGCTGTTACGCCTGTCATCTTAAATTAAGAATGTTTATACATATACGATTTTCAGTTGCCTCTGATACGTATACGTGAGTAAATTGTTTTGTTATTTTATTGATTATTACAAATCAATATTCAAAACGACCCAATTCATTTTCCCGAAAATTTGAGAATATAATAATTTTATTCTTAGTATTACACTACATCTATCCCAACTGATATACGTGTCCTTGCAAAAATGTTGATGACGTCATCACAATTTTTTACTTCCCGAGCGTAAGCAAAGGAAGTATTGTAATCGAGTCCGTCGGCCGACTCTCTACTTTTACGTTTTCTCGATCTTTCATGACCCCTAGAAGACGAAGAAATAGGTCTCCCATTTCCGTCTGTCTGTCCGTCTGTCCGTCTGTCCGTCTGTCCGTCTGTCCGTCCGTCTGTCCGTCTGTCCGTCTGTTGTCACGGATTTTTATTAGACAGATAATCTCCGAAAGTACTCGACCGATTGTTGTGAAATTTTGTACTTATATTAAGAATATCATGTAGATGGTAAAACGCTAACCAAAATTTGTCGAATCATCCCCACCACTAAAGCGATGACGTCACTTCAAAATTGTACATAGTAAATGGGTTTTCAATTGTATAAAATAACATAGTCCTACACATGTAGTTTACAACTCTGAATCGACTTTTCACCCGAAACGTCCAGATTTTTGGAAAAAAAATCAAAATTATAAAACAACATTTTGAAATTTAATTTTTAATCTGCTAACCAGAATGCTTTGAAATGTTGCAGATGTTTTAAGGCTATAAAGAGCATCATAAATCTTTAGTCAAAAAATATTTGCTTATCCCCTCCAAAAACTTGATGACGTCAGCTCAAAAGTTTGTGGAATAAATCATATCTAAAATGTACAAAATATGATGAGTCTGTACTTGTGAACTATCACTCCATTAATATTTTTTGGATTTGCATATACAGGGTGACTCAAAAAAATTAATGAATGCGTAAATATATTTTATTGATTTAATCAGGAACTACAAAACCGAATGCTCTGAAATCTTGCAGATGTTTTAAGGTCATAAAGAGCATAATAAATGTTTAGTCAAAATATATTTGCTTATCCCCTCCAAAAACTTGATGACGTCAGCTCGAAAGTTTGCCGAATAAATCATATCTAAAATGTACAAAAAATGATGAGCCTGTACTTGTCATTTATCACTCCATTCATATTTTTTGGATTTGCATATACAGAGTGACTCAAAAAAATTAATGAATGCGTAAATTTATTTTATTGATTTAATCAGGAACTACAAAACCGAATGCTTTGAAATCTTGCAGATGTTTTAAGGTTATAAAGAGCATAATAAATTTTTAGTCAAAATATATTTGGTTATCTTCTACAAAAAACTGATGACGTCAGCTCAAAAGTTTGCCGAATAAATCGTATCTAAAATGTACAAAATATGATGAGTCTGTACTTGTGATTTATCATTCCATTCATATTTTTGGATTTGCATATGCAGGGTGACTCAAAAAAATTAATGAAGGCGTGAATTTATTTTATCGATTTAATCAGGAATTACAAAACCGAATGCTTTGAAATCTTGGGAATATTTTAAACTTATTATAAGCATGGTAAACTTTTGTTCAAAATGTATTTGTTCATCCCTCCTAAAAAAATTGATGACGTCACCCTTAAATTTTGCTGAATAAATCCTATCTAAAATGCAAAAAATATGATGAGTTTGTACTTGTGATTTATCATTCCATTCATATTTTTTAGATTTTCTTAAGAGGTGGTTCAAAAAAATTAATGAAGTCAATTTATTTTATTGATTAAATTAAAGGCAACACTTATTATTAGTATTACACCCCAACCAACCCAATTTGGTAGACACAAAATTTGTTAAAGGAAAAACTCGGTTGAAACATAAGGGTACTACGCTTATTTACATCGACTTTAACATTACAGACCTGCATTTGTTTTATGCGCTCACTTGGTTCCGCGAATGTGAAATAGACATGTTTATAATCAACCAATTGTGAATTTCACCGTCAAGAATTAAAATAAAACCCAATGTTTTATATAATAAGCGGAAGTCGAAGCAATAAAACCGATGGTCGTTTTGTTTACAGTTTCTCTGTTTGACTCTCACGTATGCTGTTACGCCTGTCATCTTAAATTAAGAATGTTTATACATATACGATTTTCAGTTGCCTCTGATACGTATACGTGAGTAAATTGTTTTGTTATTTTATTGATTATTACAAATCAATATTCAAAACGACCCAATTCATTTTCCCGAAAATTTGAGAATATAATAATTTTATTCTTAGTATTACACTACATCTATCCCAACTGATATACGTGTCCTTGCAAAAATGTTGATGACGTCATCACAATTTTTTTTTAAATTCCCACCAGAAAAATGTAATGAGAAAAAAAACACAATAGGCATGCAGTCGTCAAGTTTCCGACAGCGAGGGAAGTACTGTCTAAACTCTTTAGACCAATTTTTTTACTGTTAGCATTTACCAGGTAATTTGGATTTATTGATGGCAGAAACAGTATTTTTATAGACGTGGCATTGAAATGCATCTTTTACTATGTGTATGCTGGTATACAAAGGTGTTTCTAACGTTTGAAGGAAAACTATTATTATTATTTATATTCTATGTTTTTTAACATTATGGAAGCTCTATGTATTATTTATTTATTTTCAATAAAAATTGTGTGTACTTTACACAAATTTCAAAATATACCAAGCCGATGAGCCTCGACATTCGGCTCCGGATCAGGATAATAGAACACCGAGGAGGTGGCGCAAGCGAATGATCGCTTGCTCGCTGTTAAACTGCAGCGCCATCTGTTGTAGAGTAGATTCCAGGTTATTTTAATAATAGGAATTCTGTAATACATACGAGACCTCCTCGACTGTCTATGATCCTACTTTCAGATCGCAGAAACACGCTCGTCAGCGTATATTTTCCAACTGACTGGACGGACTGACAAAGCGGGATAATTTAAAATTTAAATTTTTAATCAGATTGCTTTATTTTTTATTTTGTTAGAAAATGATGTCATCAAGGTTAACGATTTTATCATAAATTTGGTAATGTAAATACACATTTTCTTATTTTACGACGAACTTGAGGAAAAACTAAAATAAATTATGAAGTTTTAGAACTGATATAGGCTCAATATAATGTACGAGAACTATCAAAAGAACGTAATTTTCAATTTAGAAGAAGAAGACGAAATAAGAAAAAGATGGAAAGGATACTTGAAATGCAGTTATAAACAACCGGTTTTTTGCGATTTGTGAACGCTTTTAATCGAGATTTTTGTGCAAAGATCTGGACACTGAAGATTATGTTGGACTAAGGTCAATGAAAGATTGCAGGTGGTAATAAGAATTTTCTTCACGCATAATAGTGTAAAGTTTATTTCATTCATGTGTGACTTTGAACTACGAAGAGTACACGTAACATACTTAATTGGAATTTATTATAATTATGTTTTTATTTTATCTAAAATGTAGGACCCACTCTCACACTGGTGTGTACACTCACAATATATCCGTCAATATTACTTGACTATTTATTATACATGGTGACGAAAATAGGATTAAATTATACACAATTTTCAGATACTTACCTAATGACAAATCTGTCCTTGATTGGTTAAACGAATCGTTATTTATAACACAAATTACCGCTTCACTTGTTCTATTACTTTATTTTAAATGGAGCAGGTAAAAGACACTAAATGTACGTTCAGTTTTGGTTCAGCTGCATTTGTCGTTTAACAGTTAATTGCATGCAAAGCTAGAACAAACTTTTGCGTCTATGAGCAAGTTTGCTAAACAGCAAAAAGTAGTTTCTAGCGGACTGATGCACACTATTTTTGGGCCACAACAAAGTACCTTTTATTTATTGACAGTGAAATAATTTCATATTTTTTGACAGTTAAAATCGAGAGTGACAGTCAGTGCAGACTTTCGTTTGTGTAACGACCAATGAAATTGTTAGGTGTTGTTTTCTACGGAAATACTTATCTTGTTTCCGGACGGTTTAAACAAGTCGGAAACAGTATCGAGTGATTACATATTAATGTTTGTGATTTTTTGGCAGGTTGGCAACCTATTTAAAATTTTGTGATGGCCTACCTAATTGTAAAAGTGATAATTAAGAAGCAATGTCATTAACGACAAGATGAAAAGAAATGGACCCAGTGCATTTCTCTGTGAAATATAATCGATTTTATTGGAACATGTTTCTTCATGTGGTTATTTCTAACAGTTTGTTTTCTGTACATTAAATAAGATTAGATTAAGACTAATATATCAAAAGGAGGTCATTTTTTCTTTTTAATTTTCCTTAACATCAAAATAATCTTTGTCTTGTCTTGAACTTTTGAAATGGTTATTCCTTATAATTATTGCATAAACTTTATCAAATCGACCGATGACGGTGTAGTAGACAGTATTTTTTTGTATTTGGCTGTGTTTACAAAAACTCATTATTTATGCTTAGTACAGTAAACAAATAACACGTAATTGTACACAATAACAAATTTAGTGCTCAAAGTATGTAAATAATGCACATTAAATATTATACGATCGAAAAACCAAAGGGTTCTTTTTCATTACTTTAAAAATTAATTTCATGACTAGCTAGAGGATTAGGTGATTCAGCCTGTATATTAAATTTAAGTAAAAAAATCTGGTAGAATGTTGTTTAGTCAGAACTTCCATCATAAATACAGATTTTTCGAAAAATTATAAAATTTAATTTTTCAAAGTAAACATTCTACGCATGGACCCAATTAGCTTACGCTTAGAGCGTAAAAACGCCACAATAATGACTCATGAACTGGTTTAAACTTTGTTTTCCAATTATTATAGATTATTATCGTTTATCAACTGTGCGCTTAATTTAAATTTTTTAAATACAAAAACTGGTTTTTGTTTCCTACGTTATTTGTAGTAGTAAAACTGTAATAAGATTTGTCTGTTAACAAGAAGGAAAAATTCGGTAATTAATGTAGTTAGGTAAACAAGAACGACTTCTTCGTATAACTTAAAAGTTGTATTCTGATTTTTGTTGGCTTTGCCTTTTCCCTGTAATATTATGCAACAATTTTTATTGGTAGATATAATAACACCATTATAATAGTTCCATTGTCAACGTTTACTTAGTCATCCAACTATCAATAAAAAAAAAGTTGCTTCTATCAGTAAGTGTCACTTGTCAAGGGTATTCGGTTTCCGACTTGGGACAAGGCCTCCAACTAAAACTAGTAATAAAAAAAAATATATATTTGACATTGGCTTGATATTCAGTGGCGTAATTTTAAACTTTCTATAGCAGGTACATCTTTTTTTATCAAGAAGTATATACAGAAAGGTAAAAACAAAATTCACCAAGTAGTCCGCAGTGTCAACAAAAATGTATTAAAATCAATTAACAAAAATCGAGTTTATGAAAACAAGCGAAATATCTTGAGTAGATACCACGTTAATGTCGTTTCCTGGTTCTGTTTTTTTCTCACTTCCGCAACTATAACTTCCATGTTGCAATTAATAAACTTATAACTATGCTTAGAGGTAAATAGGAGCTATATTTACCTCATCTGAAAACTGTCCATCTAAAACTTTTGCCACATTAGCTAGTCTAGTAAAACCCCCATTTTTACTACGGACTTCGTCTAGTTTTTTTTAGACTATTTGAGCAATAGAATAGGACCTTTATTGATATATTTTTTGGAGTTTTAACTCCTTTACGAGCTCGAACTCGGTGTCGGTGTCGATGTCCAGGACACCGACACCAGTCTGAACTGAGTCTGAACATAGGCATGTAACGCCGCGCTACAGAAAGAGAGAGAGAGAAATAAACTATTTAATAAAATGTGGCGATAATGCTATGATTGAACAGTAATTTGTATTTTAAATCGAATGCGTTATAAATAATTCTCTAGCATTTGTAAATATTTACTTGTTACTTTAGTTGGTAAATTACACATTGTACTTTAATTTTTTTATATAATATTATAATAATTAATTATGATATTTCTATATGATAAATAAATAAAAAAAAGTATATTTTATAATAAACAACAATTGACAATACATAGATATTTACTTTAATTAACCCAATCATCATCATTAATCATCATTTTGTCAAAAAACACAACTGCAACATATTTTTGGTTGTTATTATTTTTTAAGAGAAAATAAATTACTTCGCCGCGTATACGTGTTTAATTTATATAAATTGACAACGCAGAGTTAAAAATCCAACCGTGCGTCCCTGGGTCGACGCAATCTTTTTTTTAATTTTCTATTAATTACGTGCCTTATGGTGTTTTATTTTCGGATAAATTTAAAGGAATCTGGCGTTTTTTCCTGGATAAACTTGTACAAATCGTTTGAGCTTTTAGTGTTTTATTTTTTACGAATTTGAAAGTCTTGAGTGTCGCAGTGTTTTTTTTAATTCGGGGAACTCCTGGGTACCCATGATGTATTATTTTGGGAGCCCATGGAGATTTTTGTAAATTATTTAAAACAATTTTGGAGGACTTTGGTGTTCTATTTTTGAAAAATTCTGACCTGACTTGTTTTTGAATTGATTTTTGGGACCCTGTTTTTTTTCTTTAAATTGAAAACAGTCTTATGGTTCTATGTATTCCAAGTGTCTTTTCTTATAATAAGTTAATTAAATTTCTTAAAGAATACGTCATTTGCTATATATATTGCCAAATAACGTACCCTTAAGAAAATAAATGGGGGTTGGTATACTTGCCAAGATAAAACTGATATCGTCAAATGGCGTACCTTCGAAAAAACTAAAGGGCGGGTGGGCGGGGCCAGTACTTGCCAAGATAAGAGAGATTTTGCCAAATGATTTAGCCTCCACCTCTTTTTTGAGGGTATGTCATTTGGCAAAAGCAGTCTTATCTTAACAGATACTAGCCCCGCCCACCCACCCTCTCTTTTTTTAGAGAACGTGTCATTTGACAAAATCAGTCTTATTTTAGCAGATACTAACCCCACCCATCCGCCCTCTCTTTTCTTAGGGTAGCCTGATATAAAGCGAAGCTACAAATCAGCAAAAATCGAGTAAGCAATTAAAAATGTTTGCAAAACCCTCCTCATTTGCCAAATGGGAGACTACCATGGGTTTTTTTTGTCTGAAAAAATATAAATGAATCTCGGGATCCTCAAATAGTGTTTGTCTTAAAAATTTAAAAGGTTTTCCGAGGGTTCTAGTCCTTTTTAATAAGAGAGTTTCGATAGATATTCCCTAGTCTTTTTTTTTGAAAAAATTAAAAGTTTCTCGGTGGACACTTTGCGTTTTTTTTTTCTTTCAAAGGGGATAAAAGATTCGTAGAGGCCCCTAGTGTTTTCTTCTTTGAAAGAATATAAAAGAATCTTCTGCCCCCTGCGTGTTTTTTTAAAGAGTATAAAAGAATCTTGAGGGCCCCTAGTTTGTAATTTTTGAAAAAAATTACACCCCAAGTGATTTCTCCTTTATAAAGAAAACCAGAATCTAGGAGGCTCCAAGTCTTTTGTTTTTTAAAAAGGTTTAAAAAATCTCGATGAACCCTAGCAATTTCTTTTAGAATTTGAAAGAATCTCGACGACTGTTGACTGTTTTTGGAAAAGAATTTTAAAGAATCTCGGAGGCTTGTAGTGTTTTTTTCTTTTGAAAAGGTATTAAAGAATCTCGAGGTCTCCTAGCGTTTTTGTTTTAATCCATAAAAGAATCTCGGGGGCTCTTCCCGTTTGTTTTTTAAAGACCAAATCCTCGGTAGCCCCAGATGTTTTTTGATTGAAAAAATACAAAATAATCTCGGAATTCTTTATTTATTTTTAATAGTTTAAAAGAATTTCTTGGGCTTCTAAAGTTTGTTAAATCATAAAATAATCTCGGAGGCTTCCCGTGATTTTTTTTTTTAAATTAAAACAATCTCGGAGGCTTCTAGTGTTTGTTTTTCCGTAATTTTAAAAGAATCTTGGGGCTCCCAGTGTTTTTTTGTCTGAAAGAATATAAAAGAATCTACTGCCCCCTGCGTTTTTTTTGTTTAAAGAGTATAAAAGAATCTTGAGGACCCCTAGTTTGTAATTTTTGAAAAAATACACCCCAAGTGTTTTCTTCTTTATAAAGAAAACCAGAATCTCGGAGGCTCCAAGTCTTTTGTTTTTTAAAAAGGTTTAAAAAATCTCGATGAACCCTAGCAATTTTTTTAGAATTTGAAAGAATCTCGACGACTGTTGACGGTTTTTGGAAAAGAATTTTAAAGAATCTCGAAGGCCTGTAGTGTTTTTTTTTTTTTTTTTTGAAAAAGTATTAAAGAATCTCGGGGTCTCCTAGCGTTTTTGTTTTAATCTATAAAAGAATCTCGGGGGCTCTTCCCGTTTGTTTTTTAAAGAGCAAATCCTCGGGAGCCCCAGATGTTTTTTGCTTGAAAAAATACAAAATAATCTCAGAATTCTTTACTTATTTTTAATAGTTTAAAAGAATTTCTGGGGCTCCTAGCGTTTTTTTAAACCAAAAAGAATTTCTTGGGCTTCTCGAGTTTGTTAAACCATAAAATAATCTCGGAGGCTTCCCGTGATTTTTTTTAAATTTAAAACAATCTCGGAGGCCTCTAGTATTTTTTCCCCTTAATTTTAAAAGAATCTCTGGGGCCCCTAGTGGTTTTTCTTTTTTTTTTTTGAAAGACTATTAAAGAATCTTGGGGGCTCCCAGTGTTTTTTTGTCTGAAAGAATATAAAAGAATCTTGAGGGCGCCTAGTATTAAATTTTTGAAAAAATTTGACACCCCAAGAATTTTCTCTTTTAAAGAGTAAGCAAGAATCTCGGAGCCTCCAAGTCTTTTGTTTTTGAAAAAAAATCAGCTTTATCTTAGTAGGTATTAGCCCCGCCCACCCATCCCCTCTTTTCTTAGAGGGTATATTATTTGCGAAAATCATTTTTATCTTAGCAAGTACTGATGACTGATTACCACAAAAATTTCAAAGTATGCATAAAAATATGCAGAATATAAAAACATATGCATTTTTCATATTATCCGAGGCTTATATAGTCATCAAATTGTTCACGGTAGTTAGTAGACAGCCAGAGATTAGACACTGCAGAATAATTTTTAGTTTCTATATTTACACTGTTTCTCGTAAATATAGTTAGTTTTTCAAAAATTCTAAACCGTGTAGTGTTTTGTTTGCACACCAGTCAAATAATAAGGACCTGCACTTGTGTTAAGCGGTAAATAGTTATCGCTCAGTTTGAAATATTGACAATGATTACAAATGTCCAAAGGTTATTGTAAACTTGTGTTCGGTGTAGCGTGTTACTTTCAGTACTGAGCACCACTTATGCACGAATATTAAAACAACTTTTAATCCGCCTTTCCACTGAACCGTAAAAGTGTTTATTCACAAAGAAGTAACAGAATGTGGTGGATCGGCCTTGCCTTGCTTGTTTACTACATCTACATTCGTCTGAGTCGGGGTATCACTAGAAGTGCAACATGTCTCATAGGAAAAACTGCCCTCGTTTCGGGTGCGAATTCAGGTACCTAACTAAATATTTATTTATTTCAAAAATATTTAACCCGTTAAGATTTTAAGGTTTGGGTTACCAAACTGCACTTAATTTGGCATCAAGGGGTTGTAAGGTGATAATGGCCGACGTAGCAGACATGGAGGAATCAAAAAGAAACATAATAAAATACACAAACAACCCGAACATTACAACAAAATACATCGATATGTCGTCACTGAAATCAGTCAGAGAGTTTGCCGCCGATATCAATCAAACCGAGGACAGATTAGACATTTTAATTAACAATGCTGGAATCGGCGTTGCGAAAAACAACAGAACTGAAGATGGTCTTCACCCGGTGATGCAAATTAACTACTTTGCGCATTTCCTCCTCACCCATTTGCTTCTAGGTTAGTACGATTTTTTTGTTTTCACTTATGTGGTTGTAGATCTTCTCAAGAAATCAGCCCCTAGTCGAATCGTCTCTACTAGTTCTTGTATGGCGTTTGTTAACAACCTCACCGTCGACAATTTGAATTTTAACGACAAAAATAATACGTTTTTGGAAAAAATTACCAGCTATAACAATTCGAAATTGGCCCTTTTGATAGCATCTGATATTTTTGCCGAAAAGTTGGAAGGGACAGGTGTCACATCGAATAGCATTCATCCAGGGTTTGTCTCAACGCCCATTTTTACTAATGGTTATTCTGTTATTAATAATGGATTGATAAAGACTGTAATGCGCTTGTACAACTGGATTTATTCCAAGGTAATAACAAGTTTTTGTTTATTTTGACGCGGGTTATTGCTATTTTAAACGAAACCTTGATCTTAGAGAAAGTACTGCAACTGCAAGGTTTTGGTATTTGTAAAGAATTTGGACTTAATATAGTGTAGGCAACACTTTTAACTTGAAACACTATCGTATTTCAGAGTAGTAGCGTTTGCTTTCATAAGCTGACGTTTCACTATTATTCAAAGCTTCAGGATCATAACAGCTTATAAACGTCAATTTATTAAAACAACTGATGTGTACCCCAGCAATACAAACTACAGAAGTTAACCCTCACAGGTCTATATGACTGTATGACGTTTCAAAACAATGTGCCATCGAAAACTCTGTACCGTTTTTCGAGAATGAAATAAGGCAATTTTACGAAATAAAACAAATATTTTCAAACGGATTATTTTGTGGATTTTTAGGCAACTTTTTTAAGAGGGTATGTCATTTGCCAAAATCAGTTTTATCTTGGCAGGAATCAATGGCAGGTACTAGCCCTGTCCAAAGACATATTTTTTTTGTAGGTTTTGACCTCCAGAAGTTACTTTCTGAGTTATTTCTTGGGTAACTAGTACCAGTTTTGCAGAATTGCCCATTGAAACATGTTAATTTTTTGGACTATTGTAGTTTGTGTTATGCTGGTTATATACCTTTCGTGTAAGTACTTAATTCGATTTTTTTAGGATCCTTGGGAAGGCTCTCAAACTCTAGTACATGTTGCCGTTTCTAAAAAACTAAAAGATGTAACTGGAAAATATTTCTGGGACTGTAAGCCTTATGTTAAACCCATGGCGGCTTACAACAAGGAATACTGTAAGCAGATTTGGGAAGCTACGGAGAAATATGTGGGTCTACGTCCTGAAGAGAAATTATAAAAATAGATTTTAGTGAATAAAACATTACTCAAACTTTTTTGAGTACAGTAGACCTGAAGTTTTCGAGGTAAATAATTTTATTTAAAATTTCCATCATCATTAGGAGGTTGTACTGTTAAGACATTAATAAAATTCTTTATTTGTCCTTTTTCCTAATTTATGATTGTTGAGTGGACTCGCTAGACGAGGTATAACATTTTTTTGGTTTTTTGTATGAAAAAATAATATTAATATAGATGTAGGTATCATACATCAAACTGCAGCTTTTTTCATATTCTAGAGCGCAGAGACCAGTTCAATCAGTTAAAAAAATATGGCTGAGAAATATCGTAAAAAAAGCACCATTGTATGTTTTCTTTTTAAGTTTTTTGAGTCATAACCATCATAGAATCGCTTGAAAATTCGCACACGGATAAAGCATCACTTTTTACAGGGCGCAGAGTCATTAAATGTTTGTTAGTGGTACAATTTGTTTAAATAATAATGTGTTTATTAAAATCAAAATATACCACGAATTAATGCAAAATACGTCGAATAATTTTAACAGGAATATCACAGGAAAATTAATGATCTATTGGTTAGCAGAGTTCTTAACAAAAAATAACAATTATTGAAAAAAATGGGTATCAATTCGACAGAATTTGAGCAGTTAGTTCAGTACTTTGCCGATAGGAGCGGCACTAAAATTTGCGGAAGCGACTTTCCAGGTAAAACCCTTATCGCCTGCTTTACCATAAGCTGACTGTTAGAGTTCTCGGCTGATTTTTCTAATGTATGGCAAGGAACTCAGTTTTATAACAAGCCGCCAGGACCGGCCGTAGTAATCTATTGTTAAAGAAATTAACTTTTACGCATTGAGGTACTATCATAAAAGCGAATTAAAACTGGGGAACTATAATATTTTTACTCCACTCAGGATCCTGAATTCAATACACATGATTACTAAAAATTCATTGTAATATTATTGTTAATATATATTTTGCTTTGTTAATTAATAAAACTGATAAACATATTTATAATAATAATTAAAAATGTATAAAATACAGCTTTTGTTTAACACGTATAAGTAGCTAAGTGTATCTACTACTTATCTCAGAAAGGAGGTGTTTTAAAAAAGCCCTACGCCCAGTTTACTCGAAAAAAGTGCTGGTATATGTTTTCATTTGCCGAGAGATCATTTTCAAAATATATTTTTAATAAAAATATGCAAGTCTTGGTGATGAAAAATGTACTCCTAATAAATTATTAAAGTACATAAAAAAATAGAAACAAATTTTATTTATTTAAAAAAAATCTCTCGCAAAGGCAGGTTCCTCTTTCTTCTTGAATCAATTATTTCGGGCAATAATGCGCCAAAGTAAAATCTGCCAAGTTGATCTGCCATCTTTTTACATATTATAAATTTTTTCTATATTTATTTCTTTGGGTGTCCATACAACAAAATAAACTTGTAAAATACCCGTAACGAGCATTTGTCCCTGGACTTGAAAGTAGTAATCATGATTTTCTTTTTAGTTTCAATTCTCTGTCTGTCAATGTACAAAATTTGATTATATTTTTCTAACCGCTTCTTCGGGAGACAAATCTTGCGATTTTGAAGGGCATTTAATTTCGACTAATGAACTCCTATCCTCTAGAACCCTGTTTGGACTAGCAGCCAAGTAAGGCAATTATTTTGAAATAAACAAGGCACACCGTTCAGTTTTTATATTTTTATTTATTTCAAAACACTGACAGCTTTTTCCTCACTTTGTTGTCCATAGTATGTATGACTATTACCTCTAAATGTACTGTACACAGTGGCGGCTCGTGACTGTCTGATGTGGTGAGGCGATGATAGAAGTTTGACAATAATATTATCAATAATAAAATTAATTAAATTAATGTGATTAATGCATATTACTTGGTCTTAGTAGTTAGTAATGATAGAAGTCTTGCCTGAATACCGTTCATTTCCCAGTCAGTAGTGGGTCCTAATAATAGTAATAATAATAATAATATTAACACCCATAACACATTTAATCAACAATGTTTTTACAAGTCAAAATTTTGTTTAAACTAGCACTTTCTTGGAGGGATTCAGCAATAGTTGTGTTCCTTTCTAAATCTTTTAAGCCCATGAAATTTTTAATGTGTACTTTGGAACTTTTATGTAACTTTGCACTTCGAATGAAATTCTTTAAATCGTTATATCCCGGAGACGTCGTCCATGTGTTTTTTACATTGCCTAAGAGTAGACACGGCCAACAATATAGACTTTCAGCATAAATATTACGGCTACGGCAGAGCCGTTTATGTTTCGTACCAGGCTGGTTTAAAAGACCTGGAGTACTGATGACATTGTCGCTTATCAATGGAAGTTAACGGTTTTGACTGTTCGATATTTAGCAAAATTTACCGACGTTCTAACTCGGTTCGTCGTGAAAACGGCGTTTCAAGAAGCAACATGACAATATCGTACTCGGGATTCATTTTTCACTCACCTGTACCCTGTACCTATGAAAGAGACAAAAACACGAAACACCAACTCCTGGACTTTTATTCACGTTTATGCTAATTACCCACGCACCCTGCACCCCTTCCATTCTGTAAAATAAATTGGAAAATGGTTTAATGGGTCCGCCGAAATTGGCCGAGAAGCGTCGAAGATATCGCCTCAGTTCAGAGCGAATTCATGTATAGGAGTATAGCAGCTGAGTCATGGAAATCCGTGTCTGTGATTGGGCTTCATTGGCTCTAGTGAACCGACGCTCTGGCCGCTTCAGTTAAAGAATTCGGGGCATAAATCGTACAGTATTCAACGGAAAATGTCCGCAGAAAGTGTAAAAAATAAAAAATAATCTACAGATTTACCAATTCAACATATTTTTGTAACTAAAAATGCATTGAAAGCTCTTTTATAATTATAAATTAAGTCAATCTGTTCTTAAGATATATGCTGTGAGGCGCCGCCTCACTTGCCTCATATGACGAGCCGCCACTGACTGTACAACAGAGACTCCACAGTTTTAGCTATTGCTGTAGTCGGTCTAAGTTTGTAAATACGTCCAAAATTTGAAGCCGTAACCCTAATTTCCCTTTCTTTTGCCCAAATGTGCCTGTTGCCTAGTGTCTATTTCAATTTGGTCTAAATTCAAAGATAACTTTCTCAAAAAAACCTCTTTGGCTGTCACAAATATTTCTATATCCATGACAGGATTTTCTAAAAAATATTTAAACCATAGTCGTGCAGTCGTGACCAGCATACGTAAATTTTTTTACGACATATTTTTTTTACGAATACTTTGTCTAAGACGAGCTTGTTTTATAGACGAACAATATTTTTTTGTTATTAAACCAGGGCCGTTTTAATCACAATATATTTACTTATCCCCTCTAAAAAATTGATGACGTCACCTCAAAATTTTCCTGATTAAATCCTATCTAAATTGTATAAAATATGATGAGTCTCTTCTTGTGATTTATCATTCCATTCATGGTTTTTGGACTTGCATATACAGGATGACCCCAAAAATTAATGAATGCGTGAATTTATTTTATCGATTTAATCAGGAATTACATATTACAGAACCTAATGCTTTGAAATCTTGCAAATGTTTTAAGGTTATAAAGAGCACAATAAATTTTTAGTCAAACTATATTTGCTTATCCCCTCCAAAAAATTGATGACGTCAGCTCAAAAGTTTGCCGCATAATCCTATTTAAAATTTACAAAATATGATGAGTCTCTTCTTGTAATTTATCATTCCATTCATATTTTTTGGATTCGCATATACATGGTGACTCAAAAAATTTAATGAATGCGCAAATTTATTTTATTGATTTAATCAGGAAGTACAAAACCGAATGCTTTGAAATCTAATGTGAAAAAAAACATAATAGGCATGCAGTCGTTTCCGATAGCGAGGGAAGTACTGTCTTAACTCTTTAGACCAATTTTTTTGATTTTCCCATTTTTCCGTTTCTCAATTTTTCAATGTTTCAGTTTGGGATTTTTTCACTGTTTCGATTCTTTAATTTTCCTTCCATTTTTAGGTTTTTCAATATTTCAGCTTTGGAATTTTTCAATATTTCGTTTCTTCAATTTTTCAAATTTTTGATATTGTTTTCTCGGTTTTTAAATTTTTCGATATTTTAATTTTTCAGTTTTTAAAGTTTTAGGTTTTTAGATTTCTCACTATCTCGACTTTTCAGTTCCATGATTTTTCTATTTGTCGAATTTTTAAATTTTAGATTTTTTGTTTTCTTTGATGTATTGAGTTCTCGATCATTCGATTTTCTTAGTTTTCAGGCTTTGATTTTTTTTGTTGTCCAATTCTTGGATTTTGAAAATTTTTGTTTTTTAAATTTTCCTATTTATCGACTTACTGGGACTTCAATGTTTTGATTTTTTGATTGTTCAATTTCTCGATTTTTTGAATTTTTAGTTTTTGATACGATTTTTTTTTCAAAAATTTTCAGAGCTTCAATTTATTAACTTTACGATACTTCAGTTTTGCCCGATTTCGATTTTTGAATTTTTCGACATATTACTGTTGGGATTTTTCAATATATCGATTCTTCGATTTCTCGATTCTTCAAATTTTCGGTTTCTCGAATTTCTTCATTTTTCGATTTCTCAATTTTCTGATGTTTCAGTTTTACGATTTTTTATTTTTCAGTTTCCAATTTTTGACGTTTCTAAATTTTTCGATTTCTCAATTTTTCGATTAACTGGTTTTTTGATTTTCCCATTTCTCGATTTCTCGATTCTTCAATTCTTTCTTCAATTGTGATTTTTCAATTTTTCCATTTCTGAATTTTTCAATGTTTCAGTTTTCGACTTTTACACTTTTCCGATTCTTCAATGTTCTTTCCATTTTTCAGTTTTTCAAGTTTTAGTTTTTAATTTTTTCACTTTTTGGATTTTTCAATTTTCCTTCCATTTTTCAGTTTTTCAGTATTTCAATTCTGAGATTTTGCAATGTTTCGGTTCTTCACTTTTTCCATTTTTTGATGTTTCGATTTCTCGGTTTTTCAATTTTTCGATAGGTATTTCAATTTTTCAATTTTTAAGTTCTAGATTTTCCGTTAATTTTTTTGTTTTCCTTGATGTTTTAATTTCTCGATTATTGGATTTTTCAAATTCTTGGTTTAGATTTTTTGGTTTT